TTCAATTCCAAAATTGGTGGGGTTCAGAATGCTCCTTGATTGTTGGTTAACTATAAATCCCAGCAACTACAACTCCAAAATGTCAAGGTCTATTTCCCCCAAACTGCGCTAGTGTTCACATTTGGGCATATTGAGTATTTGTGCCAAGTTTGATCCAGGTCCCTCATTGTTTGAGTCCACAGTGCTTTCTAGATGTAGGTGAACTACAACTCCAAAACTCCAAGGTCAATGCTCTCCGATTGTTGGTTAACTATAAAACCCAGTAACTACAACTCCCAAATGTCAAGGTCTATTTTCCCCAAACTCCATCTGTGTTCATATTTGGGTGTATTGAGTATTCATTCCAAGTTTGGTCCAAATCCCGCATTGTTTGAGTCCACAGTGCTCTCTGGATGTAGGTGAACTGCAACTCCCAAACTCAATGTCAATGCACACCAAACCTTTGCAGTATTTTCTGTTGGGAGTTTTGTATGCCAAGTTTGGTATGCCAAGTTTTGTATGGGAGTTCTGTGTGCCAGGTTTGGTTCAATTCCATCATTGGTGGGGTTCAGAATGCTCCTTGATTGTTGGTTAACTATAAATCCCAGCAACTACAACTACAAAATGGCAAGGTCTATTTCCCCCAAACTGCGCTCGTGTTCACATTTGGGCATATTGAGTATTTGTGCCAAGTTTGGTCCAGATCCCTCATTGTTTGAGTCCACGGTGCTCTCTAGATGTAGGTGAACTACAACTCCAAAACTCCAAGGTCAATGCCCACCAAACCCTTGCAGTATTTTCTGTTGGCAATGGGAGTTTTGTATGCCAAGTTTGGTTCAATTCCATTGTTGGTGGGGTTCAGAATGCTCTTTGATTGTTGGTTAACTATAAATCCCAGCAACTACAACTCCCAAATGGCCAAATAAATCCCCCCCAAGGCTACCAGGCTTCAAATTTGGCCATATCGGGTATTTGTGCCAAATGTGGTCCAGGGAATGAAACGACATCCTGCATATCAGATAGTTACATGGCAATTCATAACAGCAGCAAAATTACGAGTTATGAAGTAGCAACGAAAATAATGTTAAGGGTGGGGAGTCACCACAACATGAGGAATTGCATTAAGGGGTCGTGGCATTAGGAAGGTTGAGAACCACTGCTTGGATCATCGCTGCTGGCAGCCTGGACTCTTGGCCCTTGCTCTGACTCAGCTTCCTCTGTTCCCAAGTGTTCCTTGCAGCTGCTGTTGCTCTTCTCCTTCCTGGCAGGAAGTGGCTGAATTGAGCCTCTGTTGGGACTGAACCAGGGGGGCCACTTGGTGACCCCCCTCCCCACTCCGCTGCTCTCACCCGCCCGGCTGCCAGGCTCCTAAGCCTTAAAGCCACAGAGCCCTTGCCTTGCCATCCCACCAGTGTGGCATTGCCCCATATAACAATTATTATTATTATTATTATTATTATTATTATTATTATTATTATTGCTAGTCGTCCCCTGCCACGCGTTGCTGTGTGGGAGTTTTGGCCCAATTCTATCATTGGTAGGGTTCAGAATGCTCTGTGATTGTAGGTGAACTATAAATCCCAGCAACTACAACTCCCAAATGTCAAGATTCTATTTTCCCCAAACTCCACCAGTGTTTACATTTTGGCATATTGAGTTTTGGTGCCAAGTTTGGTCCAGATCCATCATAGTTTGAGTCCACAGTGCTCTCTGGATGGAGGTGAACTACAACTCCAAAAATTCAAGATCAATGTCCACCAGATCCTCCCAGTATTTTCTCTTGGTCATGGGAGTTCTGTGTGCCAAGTTTGGGTCAATTTCATTATTGGTGGTGTTCAGAATGCTCTTTAATTGTAGGTAAACTAATAATTCCCCTACAATCACAGAGCATTCTGAACTCCACCAAAAATGGGATTGAACCCAACGTGGCACACAGAACTCCCATGACCAACAGAAACTACAATTCCCAAATGTCAAGATTTTATGTTCCCACACTCCACCAGTGTTCACATTTGGGCATATTGAGTATTCTTGTAGAGTTTGGTCCAGATCCATCATTGTTTGAGTCCACAGTGCTCTCTGGATGTAGGTGAACTACAACTCCAAAACCAAAGGACACTGCCCACCAAACCCTTCCAGTATTTTCTGTTGGTCATGGGAGTCCTGTGTGCCAAGTTTGGTTCAATTCCATCGTTGGTGGAGTTCAGAATGCTCTTTGATTGTAGGTGAACTATAAATCCCAGCAACTACAACTCCCAAATGACAAAATCAATTTTTTTTAGTGAAGGACATACATTGGGTTGTTAGGTGTCTTGTGTCCAAATTTGGTGTCAATTGGTCCAGTGGTTTTTGAGTTCTGTTCATCCCACAAACGAACATGACATTTTTATTTATATAGATTATTATTTTTATTATTATTAATATTATTATTATTATTATTATTATTATTATTATTATTCTATAATATTAAAATAATAATATAATAAATAATATTATCTATATAAATAAAAATGTAAATGGACAGCATACACCTAACAACCCAATGTATGTCCTTCACTCAAAAATATTGATTTTGTCATTTGGGAGTTGTAGTTGCTGGGATTTATAGTTCACCTACAATCAAAGAGCATTCTGAACCCCACCAACGATAGAATTGGGCCAAACTTGGCACACAGTTCTCCCATGACCAACAGAAAATACTGGAAGGGTTTGGAGGGGAGTGTCCTTTGGTTTTGGAGTTGTAGTTCACCTACATCCAGAGAGCCCTGTGGACTCAAAAAATGATAATATATAATAGAACATAATATAATAAATATAATATAATTAATGAAATATATTATATTATATAAAATATATAACATAATAAATATAATATAATATTATGTATTATATTATATTTATTATATTATATAATATAACATAATTAATATAATAATAGGACAATTATTGCCTGATGCATTCGTATGAAATCCTAGGCATAAATATATACATAATATAATATAGTATAATATAGTAATATAGTATAATAAATATAATATTGCAATATATAATAGAACATAATATAATAAATATAAAATATAAAATATATTATAATACAATATAGTATAATAAATATAATATTACAATATATAATAGAACATAATATAATAATATAAAATATATTATAATGTAATATAGTATAAAATATAATATTACCATATATAATAGGACATAATATAATAAATATAATATATAAAATATATTATAATGTAATATAGTATAATAAATATAATATTGCAATATATAATAGAACATAATATAATACAATAAAATATATTATAATACAATATAGTATAATAAATATAATATTGCAATATATAATAGAACATAATATAATAAATATAAAATATAAAATATATTATAATACAATATAGTATAATAAATATAATATTACAATATATAATAGAACATAATATAATAAGTATAAAATATATTATAATACAATATAGTATAATAAATATAATATTACAATATATAATAGAACATAATATAATAAGTATAAAATATATTATAATGCAATATAGTATAATAAATATAATATTACAATATATAATAGAACATAATATAATAAGTATAAAATATATTATAATGCAATATAGTATAATAAATATAATATTACAATATATAATAGAACATAATATAATAAGTATAAAATATATTATAATGCAATATAGTATAATAAATATAATATTACAATATATAATAGAACATAATATAATAAGTATAAAATATATTATAATGCAATATAGTATAATAAATATAATATTACAATATATAATAGAACATAATATAATAAGTATAAAATATATTATAATGCAATATAGTATAATAAATATAATATTGCAATATATAATAAAACATAATATAATACATATCTTACAATATATAATAGAACATAATATTATAAATATAATATAAAATATATTATAATGTAATATAGTATAAAATATAATATTACCATATATAATAGGACATAATATAATAAATATAATATATAAAATATATTATAATGTAATATAGTATAATAAATACAGGGTTAGTCAAAATGAATAGGCCAATAATGAATAATGAATAATGAATATTGGCCTATTCATTTTGACTAACTCTGTATAATATTACAATATATAATAGAACATAATATAATAAGTATAAAATATATTATAATATATAGTATAATAAATATAATATTGCAATATATAATAAAACATAATATAATACATATCTTACAATATATAATAGAACATAATATTATAAATATAATATAAAATATATTATAATGTAATATAGTATAAAATATAATATTACCATATATAATAGGACATAATATAATAAATATAATATATAAAATATATTATAATGTAATATAGTATAATAAATATAATATTGCAATATATAATAGAACATAATATAATACAGAAAAGATATAAAATATATTATAATATTATATAGTATACTAAATATATTACAATATATAATAGGATATAATAATATAATATATATATTATATAATATGTATTATAGAATAGAATATAAAATAGAATAGAATAAATAGAAAAAATAGAAAATAAAAATAGAATAGACTATATAATAAATATATGATAAAATATTATTAATATATATGTGTGTGTATATAAGATATATATACTTTAAATGCAAAAAAAATTCCTCATATTAATATGAATGGGAAAGCAGTCCTGCAACAATCAAGAGGGGAGAGAAGAAGAGCAGTCTATGTCTTTCTTAATGGGATTTTTTGGAAGGGAGGGAGGGAGGGAGACGCCCTTTTGACCTGAGGGATGAAGAGGGGGAGTGGGGCCAGGTTTCACAGCCAGGCAACCATTATGGGGAAAAGAAGGGAAGTGTGTGTGTGTGTGTGTGTGTGTGTGAGCAGACAGACAGATCAGGGTGGAGTGTGGGGAGGGGGGGGGGGGAAATGGTGCTGCGGTCCCTTTAAGGGGGCGTGTCCAGGGGGAGGAGCCGGAGAGCAGGGCAAGGGAGGGGGGAGCCGTGGGACAAAGAGGCCGGTCGGGAAGCAGAAGGAAAGAGAGAGAGAAGGGGCTTGGCAGGCTCTGCTCCCGATCCAGAGGAAGGGGCCACAAGGAAGGAGGCGCTGCCTGCCGGTCCCCACGCGCAGCTCCTTTCCTTCCTTTGCTTTCCTGGGGGATGGCGGCGCCTTGCAGCCCGGAGAGCGGGGCGCCTGGGCGGGCTGGCCCGGGGGGCTCCGTGGCGGGCCCTCGGGTGTACTTCCAGGGCGCCCCTTCGCGGGCCGAGGAGGAGGAGGAGGGCGGCGGGGGCGAGGAGGAGGAGGGCCCCGTCCGCAGGCAGGGCCGCGTCACCGTCAAGTACGACCGGAAGGAGCTCCGCAAGCGCCTCCACCTCGAGGAGTGGATCCTCGACCAGCTGTCCAGTTACACCCCCAGTTGAGCTCTCCATTTGACCCAATACAGACTGAATTGTTTCCCAGTTACAGCCCCAGTTGTGCTTCCCATTTGCTCCCACTGACCTTCCCAGTTGGGCCCCCCATTTTGCTCTCCAGTTACAGCCCCAGTTGGGCCCCCCATATGCCCCCAGAAACAGCCCCAGTTGCGCCCCCCATTAGCCCCCAGAAACAGCCCTAGTTGTGCCCCCGTTTGCCCCCCAAATACAGCCCCAGTTGTGCCCCCATTTGCCCCCCAGTTACAGCCCCAGTTGTGTTTCCCATTTGCTCCCCTTGACTGTCCCAGTTGAGCCCCCATTTGCCCCCCAAATACAGCCCCAGTTGAGCCCCCCATTTGCCCCCCAAATACAGCCCCAGTTGTGCCCCCATTTGCCCCCCAGTTACAGCCCCAGTTGTGTTTCCCATTTGCTCCCCTTGACTGTCCCAGTTGAGCCCCCATTTGCCCCCCAAATACAGCCCCAGTTGAGCCCCCCATTTGCCCCCCAAATACAGCCCCAGTTGAGCCCCCCATTTGCCCCCCAAATACAGCCCCAGTTGGGCCCCCCATTTGCCCCCAAATACAGCCCCAGTTGCGCCCCCCATTTGCCCCCCAAATACAGCCCCAGTTGCGCCCAAAATATTGCCCCCAAATACAGCCCCAGTTGCCCCCCATTTGCCCCCCAAATACAGCCCCAGTTGAGCCCCCCATTTGCCCCCAAATACAGCCCCAGTTGAGCCCCCCATTTGCCCCCCAGAAACAGCCCCAGTTGTGCCCCCCATTTACCGCCCAAATACAGCCATACTTGTGCCCCTCTTATGCCCCCAGAAATAGTCTCCATTGTTCCTCTCATTTGCTGTCCAGTTACACCCCCAGTTGAGCTCTCCATTTGACCCAATACAGACTGAATTGTTTCCCAGTTACAGCCCCAGTTGTGCTTCCCATTTGCTCCCACTGACCTTCCCAGTTGGGCCCCCATTTGCCCCCCCAATACAGCCATACTTGTGCCCCCATATGCCCACATAAATAGTCTCCATTGTTCCTCCCTTTTCCCACAAATACATCATGAGTTGTGCCCCCCATTTGCTCTCAGTTACAGCCCCAGTTGTCCTTCCCATTTGCTCCCATTAGCCCTCCCAGTTGTGTCCCCATTTGTCCGCCAGCTACAGCCCCAGTTATGTCCCCCATTTACCCCCAGAAACACCAATTGGGACCTCCATTTGCCCCCAATACAGACTCAGTTGTTTCCCAATTACAGCCCCAGTTGTCCCAGTTAGGCCCAAGACAGACTCATTTGCCCCTCAGTTACAGCCCCCGCTGTGCTCCCCATTTACCCCCAGAAACAGCACCAATTGCGCTCTCCCTTTGCCCCCAATACAGACTCAATTGTTTCCCAGTTACAGCCCCAGTTGTGCTTCCCATTTGCTCCCACTGACTTTCCCAGTTGGGCCCCCCATTTGCCCCCAATACAGTTGCATTTGTGCTTCCCATTTGCTCCCATTGAGTGTCCCAGTTAGGCCCCCATTTGCCCCTAATAGAGACTCATTTGCTGTCCAGTTACACCCCCAGTTGAGCTCTCCATTTGACCCAATACAGACTGAATTGTTTCCCAGTTACAGCCCCAGTTGTGCTTCCCATTTGCTCCCACTGACCTTCCCAGTTGGGCCCCCCATTTGCCCCCAATACAGTTGCATTTGTGCTTCCCATTTGCTCCCATTGAGTGTCCCAGTTAGGCCCCCATTTGCCCCTAATAGAGACTCATTTGCTGTCCAGTTACACCCCCAGTTGAGCTCTCCATTTGACCCAATACAGACTGAATTGTTTCCCAGTTACAGCCCCAGTTGTGCTTCCCATTTGCTCCCACTGACCTTCCCAGTTGGGCCCCCCATTTGCCCCCAATACAGTTGCATTTGTGCTTCCCATTTGCTGCCCCAGTTGAACCCCCCCCCCCCATTTGCCCCCAATACAGTTCCATTAGCCCCCCAGTTGTGTCCCTCATTTACTCCCAGAAACAACACCAATGGGGACCTCCATTTGCCCCCAGTACAGACTCAATTGTTTCCCAGTTACAGCCCCAGTTGTGCTTCCCATTTGCTCCCACTGACTGTCCCAGTTGCCCCCAATACAGTTCCATTTGCCCACCAGTTACAGCCCCAGTTGTGCCCCCCCCCCATTTGCCCCCAGAAACAGCCCCAGTTGGGCCCTCCATTTGGCTCCCAGTTACAGCTCCAGATGTGCCTCGGAGACAGACTCCATTGTGCCTCCATTTGCCCCCAAATACACCCTCAGTTGTGCCCCCATTTGCTCCCATTAATAGCCAAAGTGGCACAACTTTGCCCCCATTTGCTCCCATTAGTCCTCCCAGATTTGGCCCCAATACAGACTCATTTGCCACACACTTACAGCCCCAGTTATGCCCCCCATTTACCCCCAGAAACAGCACCAATTGGGACCTGCATTTGCCCCTAATACAGACTCAGTTGTTTCCCAGTTACAGCCCCATTTGTGCTTCCCACATGCTCCCATTAGCCCTCCCAGTTGCATCCCCATTTGGCCCCAGTAAAGACTCATTTGCCCCTCAATTACAGCCCCAGTTGAGCCCCCCATTTGCCCCCAATACAGTTCCATTTGCCCCCCAGTTACAGCCCCATTTACCCCCAGAAACAGCACCAATTGGGACCTCCATTTGCTCCCATTGATTGTCCCAGTTGTGCCCCACATTTGCCCCAAATACAGACTCATTGGCTCTCCAGTTACAGCCCCAGTTGAGCTCCCTATTTGCCCCCAATAGAGACTCGTTTGGCCCCTAGTTACAGCCCCAGTTGTGCCCCCCATTTGCCCCCAGAAACAGCCCCAGTTGGGCCCTCCATTTGGCTCCCAGTTACAGCTCCAGATGTGCCTCGGAGACAGACTCCATTGTGCCTCCATTTGCCCCCAAATACACCCTCAGTTGTGCCCCCATTTGCTCCCATTAATAGCCAAAGTGGCACAACTTTGCCCCCATTTGTCCCCAATTATGACCCTGAATGTGCCCCCATCTGTCCCAGAAATAATGCCTCCATTTGCCCCCAAATCCATCCTCAGTTGTCTCCCCATTTGTGCTCAGTTGTCTCCCCCGTTTGCCCCAGAAATAGCCCCACTTGTGCCCCCCCCCATTTGAAAACAGCCTAAATGGTGCCTCTGGTTGCACCCCCATTTGCTCCCTAGTTATGGGTTGCTGTGAGTTTTCCGGGCTGTATGGCCATGTTCTGGAAGCATTCTCTCCTGACGTTTCACCCACATCTATGGCAGGCATCCTCAGAGGTTGTGAGGTCTTTTGGAAACTAGTCAAGTGAAGTTTATATATCTGTGGAATTTCCAGGGTGGGAGAAATAACACTTGTCTGCTTGAGGCAATTGGCCACCTTGATCTTCAAAGCCTGGCTGCTTCCTGCCGGGGGAATCCTTTGTTGGGATGATTGGAAGAGCATCCTGACTGTGAGAGCTGTTCAGCAGTGGAACTCTCTGCCCCGGAGTGTGGTGGAGGCTCCTTCTTTGGAAGCTTTTAAACAGAGGCTGGATGGCCATCTGTCAGGGGGTGCTTTGAATGCGATTTTCCTGCTTCTTGGCAGAATGGGGTTGGACTGGATGGCCCATGAGGTCTCTTCCAACTCTTCAATTCTAAGAGGATCATGAAATCACAATTCTATGATTCGAAGTGTTAGCTGGCCCTGATTGTTTCTTGTCTGGAATTCCCCTGATTTCAGAGTGTTGCTTTTTATTTATGGTCCTGATTTTAGAGTTATGGGGTTGGACTGGATGGCCCATGAGGTCTCTTCCAACTCTTCGATTCTAAGAGGATCATGAAATCACAATTCTACGATTTGAAGTGTTAGCTGGCCCTGATTGTTTCTTGTCTGGAATTCCCCTGTTTTCAGAATGTTGCTTTTTATTTATAGTCCTGATTTTAGAGTTATGGGGTTGGACTGGATGGCCCATGAGGTCTCTTCCAACTCTTCGATTCTAAGAGGATCATGAAATCACAATTCTACGATTTGAAGTGTTAGCTGGCCCTGATTGTTTCTTGTCTGGAATTCCCCTGTTTTCAGAATGTTGCTTTTTATTTATAGTCCTGATTTTAGAGTTATGGGGTTGGACTGGATGGCCCATGAGGTCTCTTCCAACTCTTCGATTCTAAGAGGATCATGAAATCACAATTCTACGATTTGAAGTGTTAGCTGGCCCTGATTGTTTCTTGTCTGGAATTCCCCTGTTTTCAGAATGTTGCTTTTTATTTATTGTCCTTATTTTAGAGTTTTGGTAGCCAGATTGGGTTCATTTTCATGGTGTCCTCCTTTCTGTTGACGTGTTGTGCCCTAGTTGTGCTCCCATCATTAGCCTAGTTGCACCCCTCCTTCTGTTGGGCCCCGGAAGCATTCTCTCCTGACGTTGCACCCACATCTATGGCAGGCATCCTCAGAGGTTGGGGGGGGGGTCTTCTGTTGGGCTCTCCCCCCTTTGCTCCCACAGTGAGCAACCTCAATTGTGTCCCATTTGACCCCAAATACAGGCCCAGTTCTGCCCCCCATTTGCTCCTGCAATACGGCCTGGGAGTAGCCGCCCCGGTTATCTTGGCTCAGGCGTGCAGTCGTGTTGCCCTCTTCCCTTCCTTGCAACAACCAAGCAAAAAGGCAAGAAAGGTCCCCCTTCTCGGCCACGTCGGTCGAGGAAAAGATGGACTCCACGCCGGCCCCCGTCCACATGGCACACGCAGCCCCACAGCTGGAATATTGGGATCCTGGCAGCACAAAGAGCGCCAGCCTAACAAAGGGAAAGCGTGGACGGGGCGGCATCCAGATGGAGCTGGCTTCTTGCAAGGAGAGGCAAGCCTTGCTCCAAAGGGGCCCGGCACTTCCTTCCTTTCCCGGCCCCACATCCTGCAAGACCGGACCCACCCCGCCCCCTTATTCCAGGAGTCAATAAGGCCAGATGGTCACAGCTCCATTCCCCATTAGACTGTGCCTTTACAAGCCCCAATAAGGCCCCGTTATGGCACTCACATCCGCCTCGGTTGATGCTTCTTTGTCATTGCATCCCATGCCCCAAAGCCATCACGGCATACTGTTCCCTGCAGTGGGGACTCCTTTCGAGGCTATCTACCCTGCCATATCAGGCCGTTTGTGTGTGTATGCATGTGTGTATGTATGTGTGTGTGTGTGTGTGTGTGTGTATATATATATATATATATAGAGAGAGAGAGAGAGAGAGTGTATGTATATATATGTGTGTGTGTATATGTGTATATATATATATATACACACACACACACACACATATATACATACATACATGCACACACACACCCATATATATACACACACACACATATATATGCACATATATAGATACATACACACACACACATATATATACATACACACATACATGCACACACACACCCATATATACACACACACACACATATATATGCACATATATAGATACATACACACACCCCTATATATATATATATATACACATACATACCCATATATGTACATATATACACAACCATATATATGTATATACATATGCACACACACACATATATATATACATACATATATACATACACAGACACATGCACCCACACACCCATATATACATACACATACAAACATAACCACACACACATATACATACATGCACACCCTCCCATATATATATACATATATACATACATACACACACCCATATATATACATGCACACACCTATATATATGTATATACATATGCATACACATACAAACATATACACATACATATATTCCCACACATATATACATACATACACACACCTCATCTATCTCTCTCTCTCTATATATATATGCATACATACATACACACACCCCCATATATATATATATATACACACACACACATACACACACACATATATACATACACATACATACACCCCATATACACACACACACACACACACAAACATACACACACACACACATACATACACATACACACACTAGCTTGGGTACCCAATGTTGCCCGGGTTATTTTGCAAAAGACAGTGTTTTAATTGTATCAAATGCATAAGGTTGTGGGTGAACTACAACTTCCATCATGCAAGGTTAACCCCGAGAAGCTCCATCAGTACTTCAAGTTTGTTGTTGTGTTGGGCAAGTTTGCTCTAGATGCATCATCAGTGGGTTTCAGTGTGCTCTCTGGCTGCAGGGTAAACTACAACTCCCCCTCTGGTGAGTCAGTCTCCTCGGACCCCTCCAGTAGGTTGAGTTAGTCATGGGGGGTTCTGTGTGCCCAGTTTGGTCCAGGTCCATCATCAGTGCAGGTCACTGTTTCTCTGGTTGAGGGTGAACTACAACTCCCAGAAAGGAAGGAGCTTAGTGTCTAGATCCAGGGAAGTCATGTTCCCCATGCTCTATTCTGCCTTGGTTAGACCACACCTGGAATACTGTCGGGGGTGCTTTGAATGCAATTTTCCTGCTTCTTGGCAGAATGGGGTTGGACTGGATGGCCCAGGAGGTCTCTTCCAACGCTATGATTCAACATAACAAACTCTAAGTGCTGATAGAGTTTCTTGGGGTTAACCTGGCATGATGGGAGTTGTAGTTCACTCACAACCTTATGCATTTTGTAAATAATGATTTTTTTTCCCTTTGGCCGCTTACCCAAGGTAGTAACAACACCACCACCATGCTTTTCCCTTTCACTCCAAGATCCTACAAGTCAAGGGAAGGATGCTCTCCTATTAATTCCTCCCTTTCCACCCGAAATGCTGAAAAAGAGGTGGCCACACTTCCGGCGCTTGTGTGCCCTCAGTGAAGGTCACTTAAAGTCATGAATTGGTCATCCCTTTCGGCTTGGTTTCTTTGGACCCCACGGAAGGGGAGAGCAGGCGTGTTTGGCACATGGCACACATGTCTGAGCAAGGGAGAGCATGACAAACTGTAGGGAGGCTCACGCCAGCGAGTCCCTTCAAGGCATGGGGGTTCTGTGTGGGAAGTTTGCCCAAATTCTATCATTGGTGGGGTTCAGAATACTCTATGATTGTAGGTGAACTATAAATCCCAGCAACTACAACTCCCAAATGTCAAAGTCTATTTCCCTTAAACTCCTTCTGTGTTCATATTTGGGCATATGGAATATTTGTGCCAAGTTTGGTCCAGATCCGTCATTGTTTGAGTCCACAGTGCTCTCTGGATGTAGGTGAACTACAACTCCCAAACTCAAGGTCATCGCTCACCAAACCCTTCCAGTATTTTCTGTTGATTGTAGGAGTTCTGTGTGCCAAGTTTGGTCCAGATCCATCATTGTTTGAGTCCACAGTGCTCTCTGGATGTAGGTGAACTACAACTCCCAAACTCAAGGTCAATGCCCACCAAACCCTTTCTGTTGGTCATGGGAGTTCTGTGGACCAAGTTTGGTTCATTTCCATCTTTGGTGGAGTTCAGAATGCTCTCTGTATTGTAGGTGAACTATAAATCCCAGCAAGTAGAAGCCAAATTTGGTCTAGTGAATGAAAATATATCCTTCGTGTCTAATATTTACATTACGATTCATAACAGTAGCAAAATTACAGTTATGAAGTAGCAACGAAAAATAATATTATGGTTGGGGGTCACCACAACGTGAGGAACTGTATTAAGGGGTCACGGCATTAGGAAACCATACTGTTCTTAAAATCGAGTCTGAGTCCTGAATAGTCCCAGATCTGGTCACATGATGTGCTCCCCTCCCACAACACAGAGTTAAGGAAAGCTGCATACCAATACACACATATACAATACAGTAAGCGATCTGAATTATATACAAGGGTTGAATGAAAAGTGATGCCTCCACCTTCATAACTCCTCAAGAGATGGCAGTACTGGTATGTGGCAGGTACTGGCTAGTTCAGTAGACTTTCCTCTACAGTTCCATTTTGACGGTAAGCCTTAGCATTGAATGGCGGGGAACCGTGACAGCTTGAGGTTTCTGCTGGTGTACCGCCCACCCCGCGACTCAGCAGTTTCCCTGCTTGAGCTAGCAGATGTGGTCTCCAATTCGGCCTTGGTCTCCCAGCACCTGGTTGTGCTGGGAGATTTTAACATCCATGCTGAGACCTCTTTGACTGGTGCGGCTCAGGACTTCATGGCCGCCATGACGACCATGGGGTTCTCACAAATTATATCTGGACCCACCCATCAGGCTGGACATACACTCGACCGAGTTTTTGTGGCGGACAGTGGAATAGTCAGAGTGGAAGAACAAAACATCCTTCCTTTGTCATGGTCTGACCATTATCTGATCAGTTTTAGACTTTCTGCGACCCCTAACCTCCGCAGGGGTGGAGGACAAATTAAGATGTTCCGCCCAGGAGACTGATGGATCCGGAGGGATTCCTAAGGAATCTTGGGGTTCTTCCTGCGGGGTACAAATAAAGTTTATTATTATTATTATTATTATTATTATTATTATTATTATTATTAAAGTGCAAAGTATGGAACCCTGCACAGACGGTTGGTCAATGCGACTTAAGCAATGTATGCGGCAGGTACTGGCTTGTTCAGTAGACTCTCCTCTACAGTTCCATTTTGGCAGGAAGCCTTAGCATCAAATGGTTGTGTTGTTAAAGTGTGAAGTATGGAACCCTGCACAGACAGTTGGTCAATGCGACTTAAGCAACGTATGCGGCAGGTACTGACTTGTTCAGTAGACTCTCCTCTACAGTTCCATTTTGGTGGGAAGCCTTAGCATTGAATGGTTGTGTTGTTAAAGTGCAAAGTATGGAACCCTGCACAGACAGTCGATCAATGCGACTTAAGCAGCGTATGCGGCAGGTACTGGCTTGTTCAGTAGACTCTCCTCTACAGTTCCATTTTGTTGGGAAGCCTTAGCATTGAACGGTTGTGCTGTTAAAGTGCGAAGAATGGAACCCTCTGCAGAATGTTTGAATGTTGAGAAACAATGCTTGGAGAACCCCACATTCCGAATGTCCCCCTTCCTCCCGCTCCCCAGTCCTCCCTTTTCTTTCTTCTGGTCTGGAATATTATCTCCAGCGTGGTGTATTGTATCCGGGGAAGCCTTGCTCTCCTTTGGACTGGGAAGAATGGCCTCCGGCTGTGGGTGCAGCTGTCGCTGGAGAAGAGCAGCTGACTGGATGGCTGTGGCTTTTTCCTCCCTCTCCCTGTGTGCTTCTTAACCCTGTAAGAGTCTCATTGCCTAACACTTAAGACCTAATGGGATTAGGTTACAAACAGGGAGGGAAAGCCGGTTACGGGTTTTTTTCCATCCTTGCCGAAAGTCTGTCTATAGAGAAGGAACTCTGGCACCGGGCGTCCCTTTAGTGCAGTGTTTCTCATTAATATGATCGGTTTATTTACATTATATAATCTGCATTATATGAATGTAGACCAGGCATGAGCAAACTTCGTCCCTCCAGGTGTTTTGGACTTCAACTCCCACAATTCCTAATAGCCTCTCAGGTGCTTTCCTTTCCACCTCAACATCTTTAAACTTATTCACCCGACGACACACTGTACTCACATCAACACAATCACCATCAACAGCGTGCATTCTCTGATGACTCACCTTTGGAGTGACACCTTCTGCTGTCAAGACTGCACGTTGCTTAAGTCGCATTGACTTACCATCTACGCCGGGTTCCATACGTCTTTCACTTTTTATTTCCTTTTCCCTTCCTTCCTTATTGATGGTCACACCTTGTATGGTGAGGGGTTTTGTTGCCAAATTTGGTGGGTATTGGCCCAGCGGTTCTTTTGTTTTTAAGCCACTCATTACGACATGAGCATTTTTATATATATAGATTATTACTAGCCGTCCCCTGCCACGCGTTGCTGTGGCCCACATGGGGGTTCTGTGCGGGAGGTTTGGCCGAATTCTATCGTTGGTGGGGTTCAGAATGCTCTTTGATTGTAGGTGAACTATAAATCCCAGCAACTACAACTTCCAAATGTCAAAATTCTATTTCCCCCAAACTCCACCAGTGTTCACATTTGGGCATATTGAGTATTCGTGTAGAGTTTGGTCCAGATCTATCACTGTTTGAGTCTACAGTGATCTCTGGATGTAGGTGAACTACAACGCCAAAACCAAAGGACACTGCCCACCAAACCCTTCCAGTATTTTCTGTTGGTCATGGGAGAACTGTGTGCCAAGTTTGGTTCAATTCCACCGTTGGTGGGGTTCAGAATGCTCTTTGATTGTAGGTGAACTATAAATCCCAGCAACTACAACTCCCAATGACAAAATCAATTTGCCCAAACTCCACCAGTGTTCACATTTGGGCATATTGAGTATTCGTGTAGAGTTTGGTCCAGATGCATCATTGTTTGAGTCCACAGTGCTCTCTGGATGTAGGTGAACTACAACTCCAAAACCAAAGGACACTGCCCACCAAACCCTTCCAGTATTTTCTGTTGGTCATGGGAGAACTGTGTGCCAAGTTTGGTTCAATTCCATCGTTGGTGGGTTCAGAATGCTCTTTGATTGTAGGTGAACTATAAATCCCAGCAACTACAACTCCCAAATGACAAAATCAATTTTTTTGAGTGAAGGACATACATTGGGTTGTTAGGTGACTTGTATCCAAATTTGGTGTCAATTCCCCCAGTGGTTTTTGAGTTCTGTTAATCCCACAAACGAACATTACATTTTTACTTACATAGATTATTTATTATTAATTATATTATTATTATTATTATTATTATTATTATTATTATTATTATTTCTACTACTACGGAGCACCCTTTATACCAGCATTTCTCAAGCTGGGGGTCAGGACCCCTGGGGGGTCACGAGGAGGGTGTCAGAGGGGTCACCAAAGACCTTCAGGAAACACAGTATTTTCTGTTGGTCATGGGGGTTCTGTGTGGGAAGTTTGGCCCAATTCTATTGTTGGTGGGGTTCACAATGCGCTTTGATTGTAGGTGAACTATAAATCCCAGCAACTAGAACTCCCAAATGTCAAGGTCTATTTCCCCCAAATTCCACCTGTGTTCACATTTCTGCATATTCAGTATTTGTGCCAAGTTGGGTCCAGATACATCATTGTTTGAGTCCACAGTGCTCTCTGGATGGAGGTGAACTACAACTCCCAAATGTCAAGGTCTAATTTCCCCAAACTCCACCAGTGTTCATATTTGGGCATATTGAGGATCCGTGGTCCAGATCCATCATTGTTTGAGTCTACAGCGCTCTCTAGATGTCGGTGAACTAGAACTCCAAAACTCAAGGTCAATACCCACCAAACCCTTCCAGTATTTTCTGTTGATCATGAGAGTTCTGTGTGGGAAGTTTGGCCTAATTCTATCGTTGGTGAGGTTTAGAGTGCTCTTTGACTGTAGGTAAACTATAAATTCCAGCAACTACAACTCCCAAATGTCAAGATCTGTTTTCCCCCAACTCCACCAGTGTTTGCATTTGGGCGTATTGAGTATTCATACCAGGTTTGGTCCAGATTCACCATTGTTTGAGTCCACAGTGCTCTCTGGAGTTAGGCGAACTACTACTCCCAAACTCAAGGTCAATGCCCACCAAACCCCTCCAGTATTTTCTGTTGGTCATGGGAGTTCTGTGTGCCAAGTTGGGTTCAATTTCATCATTGCTGGAGTTCATAATGCTTTTTGACTGTAGGTGAACTAAGCCTTAGCATTGAACGGTTGTGTTGTTAAAGTGCAAAGTATGGAACCCTATGAAGGAAGTGAAGGAAGACATGAGACAAAGGAAGAAGTAGAGAAAGGGGGAGGGAAGGAAGGAAGGAAAGAGAGGAGGATGAAACCAAAGAGTGCAATAAGGAATGAAAGAAAGAGGTAGAGAAGGAAGAAAGGGGAAGGAATAGGTAGGTCCCTATCTTTCATAATAGTCCAGATATCTACCTCTACTTCGAAAATTCTTACTATAGGCCACAGCAACGTGTCATATACTAGTATACAGGGTTAGTCAAAATGAATAGGCCAATAAGAAAATTAATTTTAGACGAATGTATGTTTACTGTAACCAAACCACAGCTACGTAGCGACAGATAAACTATCAAAGTTTTTTTTGAGCAACACACATGTACGTTAATGCCGCTAGGCGTCGCTAGGGGTCGCTGTTTTCAAAATGGCGGAATCAAGCAAAGAGAAGGCGTTTTGTGTGATGACATTTGCTAAAACAATGTCAGTAATTACGGTCCAGCGAGAATTTCAAGGGTTAGGGTTAGGGTTAGGGTTAGGGTTAGGGTTAGGGTTAGGGTTAGGGTTAGGGATAGGGTTAGGGTTAGGGTTAGGGTTAGGGTTAGGACCTCAACGAACACCTTCCCAGACGTTGCTGCATTCGATGCCATTACGTCGGATGTGCTGCAACGGATGTGGAATGAACTGGACTATCGCTTGGACGTCTGCCGTGTCACACGGGGCGCCCATATCGAACATCTCTGAAGGTGAGACAAAACTTTGATAGTTTATCTGTCGCTACGTAGCTGTAGTTTGGTTACAGTAAACATACATTCGTCTAAAATTAATTTTCTTATTGGCCTATTCATTTTGACTAACCCTGTTATAATAATAATAATAATAATAATAATAATAATTAGTCAATTACTCTTTTTTCTGGTGTTCTTTGGTAACCGCTCTGACATTCCCTTGCGACCCCCCCCCCCAGGGGTCCTGACCCCCCAGGTTGAGAAACATGGAAGTGAATCTGCATCCGAGGCAGCATTTGAACCCAAGGCTCGAGTCTATTTTTGTTTCGTACTGGCAGTATCACCTTTCCGTCTGTCTCATGGCGTCCCCGGCCTTGTAGCCAGCCAATGCCATCTGGCAGCCGGCATGTCGGCCCCCAAATAGTGGGACTGGTGGGGGGATTTAGCTGGCCATATGGGCCTCGTCTCGGAGCTGGCTAATAGAACAGTAGTAGCTGGTCAAGGCTGCCAAAAGGCTTAGCTAGGGTTTGCTAAAGCCGCCTCTCCTCTTTCCAAACGCAGTGTGGTTGACTATTAGCCAGGGAAGTCATAAATGCCAACCTTGGGAAGGGAGGGGGCGGGTGACCTGGTTACCTTTGTCCCCGTTCCGCCGCTGGAAACATACCTCTGTGGCTTAATAGCCTTCAATGGCTTTCCTTGTTTCTCTACTGTGAGAAAGGGCTCAATGGAGACCGACGGGGGATGCAGGTCAGGCCAATTCCCAGCATGCGCATGCGGTGCAAGATCAGGGCTTATACTGGCCACGAGGAGGTTGCTTTTGGTGATGCATCAGCTTGGTATTGATTGATAATGGTTCCGTTTGGGAGGTCTTTTTGCAAAATCATAAGGTTTTCCATAATATACGAGGGTTGAATGAAAAGTAACGCCTCCACCTTCATCACTTGGGTTTGGATGGGAATATTTTAATAAATGAAACGCACAATAATCCTTAGAATGTGCTCTTTAACTATTTTTATTTATTTATTTATTTATTTCGGGTACTTCTACCCCACCCTTCTCAACCCCCTAAGGGGGACTCAGGGCGGCTTCCAACTGGCATATGTTTGATGCCTACAATTCAACACAATAAAATGTTGTTGTTCATTCATTCAGTCGTCTCCGACTCTTTGTGACCTCATGGACCAGCCCACGCCAGAGCTCCCTGTCGGTCGTCACCACCCCCAGCTCCTTCAAGGTCAGTCCAGTCACTTCAAGGATGCCATCCATCCATCTTGCCCTTGGTTGGCCCCTCTTCCTTTTGCCTTCCACTTTCCCCAGCATAATTGTCTTCTCTGGGCTTTCCTGTCTCCTCATGATGTGGCCAAAGTACTTCAACTTTGTCTCTAGTATCCTTCCCTCCAGTGAGCAGTCGGGCTTTATTTCCTGGAGGATGGACTGGTTGGATCTTCTCGCAGTCCAAGGCACTCTCAGCACTTTCCTCCAACACCACAGTTCAAAAGCATCGATCTTCCTTCGCTCAGCCTTCCCTAAGGTCCAGCTCTCACATCCGCAGGCTACTACAGGGAATACCATGGCTTTGACTAGGCGGATCTTTGTTGCCAGTCTGATGTCTCTACTCTTTACTATTTTATCGAGATTGGACATTGCTCTCCTCCCAAGAAGGAAGCGTCTTCTGATTTCCTGGCCACAGTCTGCATCTGCAGTCATCTTTGCCCTAGAAATACAAAGTCTGTCACGGCCTCCACATTTTCTCCCTCTATTTTCCAGTTGTCAATCATTCTTGTTGCCATGATCTTGGTTTTTTTGATGTTTAGCTGCAACCCGGCTTTTGCGCTTTCTTCTTTCACCTTGATTAGAAGGCTCCTCAGCTCCTCCTCGCTTTCGGCCATCAGAGTGGTGTCATCTGCATATCTGAGGTTGTTAATGTTTCTTCCAGCAATTTTCACCCCAGCCTTGCATTCATCAAGCCCCGCACATCGCATGATGTGTTCTGCATACAAGTTAAAAAGGTTGGGTGAGAGTATGCAGCCTTGCCGTACGCCTTTCCCAATATTGAACCAGTCTGTTGTTCCGTGGTCAGTTCTTACTGTTGCTACTTGGTCCTTGTACAGATTCCTCAGGAGAGAGACAAGGTGGCTTGGTATGCCCATCCCACCAAGAACTTGCCACAATTTATTATGATCCACACAGTCAAAGGCTTTAGAATAGTCAATGAAGCAGAAGTAGATGTTTTTCTGAAACTCCCTGCCTTTCTCCATTCTCCAGCGGATATTGGCAATCTGGTCTCTCGTTCCTCTGCCTTTTCTAAACCCAGCTTGAACATCTGGCAACTCTCGCTCCATGTATTGCTGGAGTCTTCCTTGCAGGATCTTGAGCATTCCCTTACTGGCATGAGAAATACATAGTAACAATAATTATAAACAGTTAAAACATTACATTAATACAATAAAAAGCCAGCCTGGTGGCCATCGTTTCGCCAAGTCCATAATTAATAAATTAATTCCGCTTATCATAGTCCGCTTCCAAAGCTTTAGTCGTCAATTGTCCTTTGTCTGTCTGCCAGATTATCCAAAGGCCTGGTCCCATATCCATGTTTTTAATTTCCTTCCGAAAGAGAGGAGGGATGGCGATGATCTAATTTCCCCGGGGAGTGAATTCCACTGGCGGGGGGCCACCACCGAGAAGGCCCTGTCCCTCATCCCCGTCAATCTCATCTGTGACAAGGGCGGGACCAAGAGCAGGGCCCCTCCAGAAGATCTTAAATTCCTAGGCGGGACGTAGAAGGAGATACGTTCAGACAGGTACGCTGGGCTGGTGCCATATAGGGTTTTATAGGTCAAGACCAGAATTTGAATTGTGCTCGGAACTGAATCGGCAGCCAGTGGAGCTGACATAACAGAGGGGTGGTATGCTCTCTGTATGATGCTCCAGTGAGAAATCTAGCTGCCGCCCGTTGGACTAGTTGAAGTTTCCAAACAGTCTTCACAGGCAACCCCACGTATAGCGTGTTGCAGTAATCTATTCGGGATGTAACAAGAGCGTGGACCACTGTGGCCAGATCAGACTTCCCAAAGTACGGGTGCAGTTGGCACACAAGTTTTAATTGTGCAAAAGCTCTCCTGGCCACTTCGGAGACCTGGAGTTCCAGGCTCAGCGATGAGTCCAGGATCACTCCCAACCTGAGAACCTGCGTCTTTAGGGGGAGTGTAACCCTGTCTAACACAGGCTGTAACCCTATGCCCTGTTTGGCCTTGCAACTGACCAGTAGGACCTCTGTCTTGTCAGGATTAGTTTCAATTTGTTAGCTCTCATCCAGTCCGACACAGCAGACAAGCACCAATTCAGAGTCTGGACAGCTTCCTTGGTGATAGATGAGAAGGAGTGACAGATTTGGACATCATCTGCATAGAGATAACATCTCATTCCGAAACTCTGGATGATCTCCCCCAGCGGCTTCATGTAGATGTTAAACAACATTGGGAACAGAATTGAACCCTGTGGGACTCCACACAACAATGGTTGTGGGGTCGAACAGGTGTCACCCAGTAACACATTCTGGGACCATCCCTCGAGAAAGGACTGGAGCCACTGCAAAGCAGTACCCCCAAGTCCCATGTCTACGAGGCGTCCCAGAAGGATACCGTGATTAATGGTATTGAAGGCCGATGAGAGGCCCAGCAGAACCAACAGCGAGCTACCGAGTCATCAGGGATCTCGCTCTTCGGAGGGTTTAACAGTCCTCTGACAACTCGGAATAGTTCAGCCGGATGGTTCTTTGCAGACGCAATATTAGCAGAAATAAATTATTTCTGTGCCGCCTTTATTACCACGTCATAGGACCTTAGAAAGGTATCCAGATGTGTTTGGGCTGATTTGGAGGGTCTTCGGTGTCACACGCACTCTAGCCTCCTCTTCTTTCGCTTCATCGCTGCCAACTCCTCAGTAAACCAAGGAGCAGGTTTAGCTCGGTTACTCGAGAGGGGGCGCTCTGGAGCGATTGTATCAATTGCCCTGGTCATCTCACTGTCCCAGCGAGAGACCAAAGCATTGACAGAGTCACTTGCCAAGGAGGCGGGAAAATCCCCAAGAGCCATCAGGAATCCATTAGGATCCATAAATCTCCTGGACCATTTTAGTGGGTCCACCACCCCTGTGGAGGCTAAGGGGCACGGTAAGTAAACCTGATCAGGTGGTGGTCGGTCCATGGCAATGGAGCGGTGGTCAGCTCCTCCACCCCACCACCTTCCTCCCATTCCTGACAGAAAACCAAATCCAACGTGTGCCCGGCACTGTGGGTGGGACCAGATACTCATTGGGACAGGCCCATGGTTGCCATGGCGGCCATGAAGTCCTGAGCCGGACCTGACAGGGAGGTCTCGGCGTGTACATTGAAGTCTCCCAGCACTAGAAGTCGTTGAGACTCCAGTGCCAGGACCGAGCCCACCCCTGCTAACTCAGGTAGGGAGACTGTAGTGCAGCGGGGTGGTCGGTACACTAGCAGAATCCCTGTTCTATCCCTGTCACCTATTCTAATGCCGACACACTCAAAGGAGGTTGACTGTGGGATGGGGTTCCTGATCAGGGAGATAGAATCCTTATAGACCACTGCGACTCTGCCTCCCCGCCTCCAGATCTCGGTTGGTACTGCACAGAGTAACCTGGTAGACAGAGCTGGGAGAGATTCACCCCTTCCCCCTCATCCAACCAAGTCTCCGTTATACAAGCCAGGTTATACTACCACTATTCACTTTTCCACATAATCACCAGATAATTGGATACATTTTTGCCAATGATGAACAAGTTTTCTGAAGCCGTCACAGAAATCGACACTCTGTTTCCGCAACCAGCATCTCACAGTTGTCTCACCCTGGGTACCCAGTGCTCTCTGGTTGTAGGTGAACTACAACTCCAAAACTCAAGGTCATTACCCACCAAACTATAAATCCCAGTTGCTACAACTCCCAAATGTCAAGGTCTATTTCCCTCAAACTCCATATGTGTTCATATTTGGGCATATGGAATACTCGTGCCAAGTTTGGTCCAGATCCATCATTGTTTGAGTCCACAGTGCTGTCTGGATGTAAGTGTACTACAACTCCCAAACTCAACATCAATGCCTACCAAACCCTTCTAGTGTTTTCTGTTGGTCATGGGAGTCCTGTGTGTGCCACTTTTGGTTCAATTCCATCATTGGTGGAGTTCGGAATGCTTTTTGATTGTTGGTGAACTATAAATCCGAGTAACTACAACTCCTAAATGTCAAGGTCTATTTCCCCCAAACTCCACCTGTGTTCATATTTGGGCATATGGAATATTTGTGCCAAGTTTGGTCCAGACCCATCATTGTTTGAGTCCACAGTGCTCTCTGGATGTAGGTGAACTACAACTCCCAAACTCAAGGTCAACGCCCACCAAACCCTTTTAGTGTTTTTTGTGGGTCATGGGAGTCCTGTGTGCCATGTTAGGCTCAATTCCATCATTGGTGGAGTTCAGAATGCTCTTTGATTGTAGGTGAACTATACATCCCAGCAACTACAACTCCCAAATGACAAAATCAATTGTTTTAATTCATTCCACTGCATCTTTCTCCTAATACGGGATTCGAAGTCCAAGTCTCTTTTTTACTTTTGAAACAGGAATTTGAGTCTTTCTCTCACCTTCTTTGTTCTTTACAGGAAGAAGAGATACCCGAATTAGAGATAGATGTTGACGAACTCCTGGACATGGAAAGCGACGAGTCTCGGAGCGCCAGGGTGAAGGTAAGAGCAAGTAAAACAGGGCTATGAATGGGAAAAAGTCTCTTTGTAGCAAGAGCCGTATCCCATGCACTTTGAGTCTGGGGGCTCTTCCAGACCGGCCCTATATCCCAGAATCCAATCCCAAGTTTTCTGCTTTAAACTGGATGACATTGAGTTCGCACTGCCAGATAATCTGGGATAAACAGAAAACTTGGGATCAAGGGTCTGTCTGGAAGGGCCCTGGGTTGACACATTGCTTGGAGGCAGCAGGGCGATGGAAGCTTGAGACAACACACCTAGCTGACTTCTTACTTAAAATGGAGAAAGGTAGAGCTTACCAATTGGGAGGGTTGGCAGTTTGAAGCCGGGTCGGAGTAAGCACCCGACCTTCAGCTCAGCTTACTGTCTGCCTAAGCAGTTTGAAAACAGCTATGAGCTGTGAGTAGAGAAATTAGGCACCTGCGTTGCTGTGGCCCAGTCTGTATATATGTGCTTTGTGTGTGTATAAGTGTGCGTATATATTTGTGTATATGTGTGTTTGCGTATATATGTGGTTTTGTGCATGTGTTGTATTTATTATTATTATTATTTGGCTTTTTAAGTCCCTTCTGTTGTGTTTTCTAGTGTTTTTATGAGTGATGGTCACTTGTTGTCTTGTGTCCAAATTTGGTGTCATTGCGTCCAGTGGTTTTGGAGTTATGTTAATCCCACAAGCAAACATTACATTTATATATAAATACAAGCCGTCCCCTGCCACGTGTTGCTGTAGCCCACATAGGGGTTCTGTGTGGAAGGTTTGGCCCAGTTCTATCGTTGGTGGGGTTAAGAATGCTCTGTGATTGTAGGTGAACTATAAATCCCAGCAACTACAACTCCCAAATGTCAAGATTCTATTTTCCCCAAACTTCACCAGTGTTCACATTTGGATATATTGAGTATCCTTGTAGAGTTTGGTCCAGATCCATCATTGTTTGAGTCCACAATGATCTCTGGATGTAGGTGAACTACAAATCCAAAACCAAAGGTCATTGTCCACCAAACCCTTCCAGTATTTTCTGTTGGTCATGGGAGAACTGTGCCAAGTTTGGTTCAATTCCATCATTGGTGGAGTTCAGAATGTTCTTTGATTGTAGGTGAACTATAAATCCCAGCAACTACAACTCCCAAATGACAAAATCGATTTTTTTTTTAGTGAAGGACATACATTGGGTTGTTAGGCGTCTTGTTTCCAAATTTGGTGTCAATTCGTCCAGTGGTTTTTGAGTTCTGTTAATCCCACAAACGAACATGACATTTTTATTTATATAGATATACTAGCCGTCCCCTGCCATGCGTTGCAGTGGCCCAGTCTGTGTATATGTGCTTTGTGTGTGTATATGTGTATATTGTTAATGTAAGATTAGTGTAATGTGAATGTTTAAATGTAATTTTGCGCAATGCCTGTGAATGTAACCTGATCGCATTAGCAGAGAGTGTATTGACTCTGAAAGGGTTAATCGGTTACACCTCTAATGAACTGTGAAGTTGTGACCCTGAGTGTGCCTGGAATGTAGGGAGGATCCAGAGATAAGATTTCGTTCCTCCTTCTTACTTTGGTGCTTTTGTCTTGTTTCTGTTCTTTTTGGTTTGGTGTCAATGCGAGTGTGTGCTGTATATTTGCTCTACTCAGTAAAGCTATATGTTTGCTTTTACTGAAGTCTCAGAGTGTCCATTCTTCTAAGCTTCAAAGCTTCTGTCGCACTCTGGCATAGATATGTGGTTTTGCGCATGTGTTGTAATGTATTATTATTTTTTTGGCTTTTTAAGTCTCTTCTGTTGTGTTTTCCATTGTTTTTATGAGTGATGGTCACTTGTTGGCCTGATAGGTGTCTTGTGTCCAATTTTGGTGTCAATTCGTCCAGTGGTTTTGGAGTTATGTTAATCCCACAAACAAACATTACATTTTTATTTATATAGATATAGATTATGCCATTTGCTCGGCCACAAAATACCAAGCTGCCACATTGGGATATGATCATTGGGATTTAATGGAAGCTTCAAAATATGATTGAGAGGGAACAAGACCTGACCTTGAAGGAGCTGGGGGTGGTGACGGCCAACAGGGAGCTCTGGCGTGGGCTGGTCCATGAGGTCACGAAGAGTCGGAGACGACTGAACGAATGAACAACAACAACAAGACTTGGCAGAGACTAATTTTTTGTTCCCCCCCCCCCCCCATTTTTTCCCTCAAACAGGAACTGCTCGTCGACTGTTACAAACCCACAGAGGTGAGTGTCTCCCTCTTTTTTCACACGGCAAAGCAGGTTCAAATGCCCTTTCCGACCCAGTGCCTGCAGAGCAACCAGGAGTTTACAAACTTCGGACCATCAGATGTCTTGGACTTCAAGTCCCACCATTCCTAACAGCCTCAGGCCCCTTCCTTTTCCCCCTCAGCTGCTTAATGTTACACCATTAAACCGTATTTCTGGCATTGGAGAGGGATTGGCTGGTGACTGCTGGAACAGCACTTTGGTTTTTTCGATGTTTAATGACAGGCCGAGCTTCTTGTATACTTCTGCGAAGATGTTTAGAGTGGCTTGTAGGTTTTCTTCTGAATGCGCACAGATGACGTTGTCATCAGCATACGGGAGTTCTATAATAGATGTTGTTCTAAACTTGGTTTTGGCTTTCAGTCTGCTGAGGTTAAATAACAGTAGCAAAATTACAGTTATGAAGTAGTTACGAAAATAATTTCATGGTGAGGGTCACCACAACACGAGGAACTGTATTAAGGGGTCCCGGCGTTGGGAAGGTTTAGAAACACTGTCTTGTTTGTGGAAGTGAAGACCTTGTGCTGTATTTACTGGGGGATATGATATGGTAGCAGGTTTTGTATGCTAATGCTGCATTGACCTCGCTGCAGACACAGCTGAAGTTGTATTGTCGAAGGCTTTCATGGCTGGAATCACTAGGTTCTTGTGGGTTTTTTTGGGCTATATGGCCATGTTCTAGAGGCTTTTCTCCTGACGTTTCGCCTGCATCTATGGCAAGCATCCTCAGAGGTAGTGAGGTCTGTTGGAATTAGGACAATGGGTTTATATATCTGTGGAATGGCTGGGGTGGGGCACAGAGCTCTTCTCTGCTGGAGCTAGGTGTGAATGTTTCAACTGACCACCTTCATTAGCATTTGAAGGCCTGGCTGAGCCTGGGAAAATCTTTTGTTGAGAGGTGTTAAAATGTGCCTGGTTGTTTCCTCTCTGCTGTTTTGCTGTTGTAATTTTAGAGTTTTTTAATACTGGTAGCCAGATTTTTTTCATTTTCATGGTCTCTTCCTTTCTGTTGAAATTGTCCACATGCTTGTGGAAATGTGTAAAGATCAATTACAACAGCAAAACAGCAGAGAGGAAACAACCAGGCACATCTTAACACCTCTCAACAAAAGATTTTCCCAGGCTCAGCCAGGCCTTCAAATGCTAATGAAGGTGGTCAGTTGAAACATTCACACCTAGCTCCAGCAGAGAAGAGCTCTGTGCCCCACCCCAGCCATTCCACAGATATATAAACCCATTGTCCTATTTCCAACAGACCTCACTACCTCTGAGGATGCTTGCCCATAGATGCAGGCGAAACGTCAGGAGAAATGCCTCTAGAACATGGCCCTATAGCCCGAAAAAACCCTACAAGAACCTAGTGATTCCAGCCATGAAAGCCTTCGACAATACGATGTTTAGAGTGGCTTGTAGGTCTTCTGAATGTGCACAGATGACGTTGTCATCAGCATACGGGAGTTCTATAATAGATGTTGTTCTAACCTTGGTTTTGGCTTTCAGTCTGCTGAGGTTAAATAACAGTAGCAAAATTACAGTTATGAAGTAGCTACGAAAATAATTTTATGGTGAGGGTCACCAAAACACGAGGAACTGTATAAAGGGCATTGGGAAGGTTTAGAAACACTGTCTTGTTTGTGGAAGTGAAGCCCTCGTGCTGTATTTACTGTGGGATATGTTATGGTAGAAGGTTTTGCATGCTAACTCTGCATTGACCTTGCTGCAGAGGTAGGTTTCTTGTAGTACGATAACATCGGTCCTGGTAGTCATGCTCTTCTTTTGTGATGCCTCCCATCTTCTAGGTTTTTGTGGCCGACCTGCTAGATAAGATCCGTGGAATGCAGAAACTAAGCACCCCGCAGAAGAAGTGAACCTGTCCAGCGACCTTTCCATCGTGGCGGCCCTCCCTTCCTCTTTGGAGTTTGCCATTGAGACTCTGGCTCTGCTGGGTCGTAAGAGGGATGGGGCGCTTTCACAGCTCTGGCGGAGAATCACTTGCGAGAGTGGGGAGACACTCCTTTTCGGAATGCTATGATAATCAAACCCATCCGGACACCTGTTTAGCAATACCGACCTGTTCCTCCTCGTCTGTCCCCAATTTCAAGTGGAGCAAAAAGAGGGCAGGGAGAGGAACACGTGTGTTCTCCGGGGAGGCGGGCTGGTCTAGTAGGAACTTGCATTTCCTTTTCTTTTTTTAGGATGTTTGGGGTTTTTTTTAATTATTGTGTTTTTATATAAATTTAATAAAGATGCTTTGAGAACAAGAGCCTGGTTTCTGCTTCTAGATGAAACATATATGTGATGAGAAAAGGGCCTTTTGGTACAAAGATATACACATGATGGAACAGTGGGGTTGCTTACAGAGATGGGAAGACCTGTGTCCCAGTTCAGGCTGCTCAAAAGGAAGGTTAAAGAGCAAGAACCCAGCCCAGAAGCCCCTTTTAGCCAAACACAAAACATTAAGAGGAATTATGGGTCTAACGCAGGTATGGGCAAACCCAGGCCTGGGGCCCAGATGCAGCCCCCTGGGCTCTTTTCTCTCACACCATCCTATCCTTCCGTTCTCTCTTTCCTTTCTCTTTCCCTTTCTTCCTTCCCTTTCTCCCTCCTTCCTTCCCTTCCACTCTTTCGTTGTGCCTTCCCTCTTTTTTCCTCCCTCCTTCCCTTTCTCTTTCTCCTTCTTTCATTCCCTCTTCCCTCCCTCCTTTTTTCCCTCCTTCCCTTCCATCCTTCCTTCCTTTCTTTCTCCTACGTTCCTTTCCTTTCATCTTTCCTCCCTCCTTCCTTTTCTCCTTCCTTCACTCCTTCCTTTCTCTTTCTCCTTCCTTCCTTCACTCCCTTTCCTTTATCCTACCTTCCTTCCTTTCCTTTCATCTTTCCTCCTTCCTTTTCTCTTTCGTTCCCTTCCCTCCCTCCTCCCTTTCTTTTTCTTTACTTTTTTCTTCTTCCTTCCCCCTTTCCTCCTTCCTTCCCTTTTACCCTTTCATCCTTCCTTCCCTCTTTCCTCCCTCCTTCCCCCTCTTTCTCCTTCCTTCATTCCCTCCTTCCTCTTTCCCCTTCCTTTTCTTTCTTCTTCCTTCGATCTTTCCTTCCTCCTTCCTCTTCCTTTCCTCCTCCCTTCCTTCCCTTATACCTTTTCATCCTTACTTCCCTCTTTCCTTCTCTTTCTCCTTCCTTCCTTCCACCTTTCCTTTCTCCTTTCTTCTATTCCCTCCTTCCTTCCTCTTTCTCTTTCTCCTTCCTTTTCTTCCTTCTTCCTTCCATCTTACCTTCCTCCTTCCCTCCCTCTTCCTTTCCTCCTCCCTTCCCTTTTACCCTTTCATCCTTCCTTCCCTCTTTCCTCCCTCCTTCTTTCTCTTTCTCTTTCCTTCATTCCCTCTTTCCTTTCTTTCTCCTTCCTTTCCTTTCATCTTTCCTCCTTCCTTCCTTTTCTCCTTCCTTCCCTCCCTCCTTCCTTTCTCTTTCTCCTTCCTTTTCTTCTTTTTCCATCTTACCTTCCTCCTTCCGTCCCTCTTCTTTTCTTCCTCCCTTCCCTTTTACCCTCTTTCCTCCCTCGTTCCCTTTCTCCTTCCTGCCTGCCTGCCTTCCTTCCCTTTTGTCATCCCTTCCTTCTCCCTTCCGTCCCTCATAGAATCACAGAGTGGGAGGAGACTGCCTGGGCCATCCTGTCCAACCCCATTCTGCCAAGAAGCAGGAAAATTACATTCAAAGCACCCCCGACAAATGGTCATCCAGCCTCCATTTAAAAGCTTCCAAAGAAGGAGCCTCCACCGCACTCTGGGGCAGAGAGTTCCACTGCTGAACGGCTCTCAGTCAGGAAGTTCTTCCTCATGTTCAGATGGAATCTCCTCTCTTGTAGTTTGAAGCCATTGTTCCATTGCGTCCTAGTCTCCAAGGAAGCAGAAAACAAGCTTGCTCCCTCCTCCCTGTGGCTTCCTCTCACATATTTATACATGGCTATCATGTCTTCTCTCAGCCTTCTCTTCTTCAGGCTAAACAAGCCCAGCTCCTTAAGCCGCTCCTCATAGGGCTTGTTCTCCAGACCCTTGATCATTTTAGTCGCCCTCCTCTGGACACATTCCAGCTTGTCAATATCTCTCTTGAATTGTGGTGCCCAGAATTGGACACAATATTCCAGGTGTGGTCTAACTTCCTATTCAACCGAAAAGATTAGGAAGAACTTCCTGAGAGTAAGAGCTGTTGGAGAGTGACATAGGCTGCTTGGAGGCTTTTCTGCAGAGGTTGTCTATCGGGAGTGCTTTGATTGTGCATGGCAGGGGGTTGGACTGGATGGCCCTTGGGGGTCTCTTTCAGCTCTAGGATTCTAGGATTATATATCGGGAGTAGGCAATATGGGGTTTAATGGATACGTTTTTTCCTCTTCCGTCCACCATCTCATCCTGACAAACCCTTTTAGGATCCAAAAGGAAAGGGCAAGGAGGGGGCTTGGGGTGACCCCCTCCCTCCCAGCCCACCCAAGTGGCCCCTAAGTTAGAAAGTTTGCCCATGCCTGGAAGCCCCAAATTACCCCAGTCTGTACCCGTCTTTAAATCCCTACTTAGTCATGAAGTCTGATCGGTGATCTTGCACAACCACTTATTTCTCTCTGGTACCTTACAGGATAAGATATGCAAGGTGAGAAAATGATGAACGACAGATAAACCTAAGAGAATCTCTCCCTACCCTTGCACAGGCAGGACCCAGCTTGTCCCTTAGGAACGCTTACCTAATGCACACTCCTACCATTTTATGATGGGGCAATGCTGACAGGGGATGATAGGGAAAAGGCAGAACTACTTAATGCCTTCTTTGCCTCGGTCTTCTCACAAAAAGAAAGTCATCTTCAACCTCAGCAAGATGGAGTGGATGAGGGATTAGAGGACATCCAACCCCAAATTGGGAAACAAGTCGTCCAGGAATACCTGGCCGCTCTAAATGAGTTCAAGTCCCCAGGGCCAGATCAACTACACCCAAGAGTATTGAAGGAACTAGCGGAAGTCATCTCAGAACCATATTTGAGAGTTCTTGGAGAACGGGAGAAGTTCCAGCAGATTGGAGGAGGGCCAATGTGGTCCCAATCTTCAAGAAGGGAAAAAAGGATGACCCAAACAATGACCAATGTCCGGTCGGCCTCACGTCGATACCAGGCAAGATTCTGGAAAAGATTGTCAAGGAAGTGGTCTGCAAACACGTAGAAACAAATGCGGTCATCGCTAATAGTCAACATGGATTTATCAAAAACAAGTCATGCCAGACTAATCTGATCTCTTTTTTCGATAGAGTTACAAACTGGGTAGATGCGTGGAATGCCGTGGATGTGGCGTACCTGGATTTCAGTAAGGCCTTCGACAAGGTCCCCCATGACCTTCTGGCAAGGAAACTAGTCCAATGTGGGCTAGGCAAAACTACGGTGAGGTGAATCTGTAATTGGTTAAATGGACGAACCCAGAGGGTGCTCACCAATGCTTCCTCTTCATCTTGGAAAGAAGTGACGAGCGGAGTGCCGCAGGGTTCCGTCCTGGGCCCGGTCCTGCAGGATCTTCATTAATGACTTAGATGAAGGGTGAGAAGGCAGGATCATCAAGTTTGCAGACGACACCAAATTGGGAGGGATAGCCAATACTCCAGAGGACAGGAGCAGGATTCAAAATGATCTTGACAGATTAGAGAGATGGGCCAAAACTAACAAAATGAAGTTCAACAGGGACAAATGCAAGAGACTCCACTTAGGCAGAAAAAAAGAAATACAAATATACAGAATGGGTGACGCCTGGCTCGAGAGCAGGATGTGTGAAAAAGATCTTGGGGTCCTCGTGGACAACAAGTTAAACATGAGCCAACAATGTGATGTGGCGGCAAATAAAGCCAATAGGATTTTGGCCTGCATCAATAGGAGCATAGTGTCTAGATCTAGGGAAGTAATGCTACCCCTCTATTCTGCTTTGGTTAGAAAACACCTGGAATGTTGGACACTTCTGGGCACCACAATTCAAGAGAGATATTGACAAGCTGGAATGTGTCCAGAGGAGGGCGACTAAAATGATCAAGGGTCTAGAGAACAAGCCCTATGAGGAGCGGCTTAAGGAGCTGGGCATGTTTAGCCTGAAGAAGAGAAGGCTGAGAGGAGATATGATAGCCATGTATAAATATGTGAGAGGAAGTCATAGGGAGGAAGGAGCAAGCTTGTTTTCTGCTTCCCTGGAGACTTGAACAATGGCTTCAAACTGCAAGAGCGGAGATTCCATCTGAATATGAGGAAGAACTTCCTGACTGTGAGAGCTGTTCAGCGGTGGAACTCTCTGCCCCGGAGTGTGGTGGAGGCTCCCTCTTTGGAAGCTTTTAAATAGAGGCTGGATGGCCATCTGTCAGGGGTGATTTGAATGCGATATTCCTGCTTCTTGGCAGAATGGGGTTGGACTGGATGGCCCATGAGGTCTGTCTTCAAGGCAGGTATTAAAGAGAAGGGAAAGGCAGCTGTAGGCCTGTACAGAGTCCCAAATCCCCCAGTGAGCAACTACCCCAGTGGGGCTTTGGCAGCTCCACTTCTCGTTTGTGGCTGAACTCAGCGAGGAAAGAATGTCTTCTGGGGCCTGGAACAAATCAGGCTCCACATTCCCTGCATGAAGTCACCCACCCTGGCCTTGCCAAGCCAGATCCCAGGCCCTCGCTGGCTCCTCCACGTGGCTGGCAGGCCTTTCCCATCCTCTTCCAAACTCAAGATGCTTACTGACACCACCCTTTGGTTGGCGGGCTTTCCGAGAGCCCACAAGCTCCATCCTGCACCCGCCTCTCTGTGTGCCAACTGGGTAAAGCGCTTTTGCTGCAGGGCTGGGCTGTGGCTTTCAGCACTCGGGCTGCAATTCCGCAATATAGTCTCTCTTTGATTGACATCATCTTGGAAGAATCCCCTTTTCTCAACCACAAACACCCACTTTGCCCGGTTTATTATTACGAGGTTTGAATGAAAAGTAATGCCTCCACCTTTGCTACTTGGGTTTGGATGGGAATCTATATCAATAAAAATGTCATGTTTGTTTGTGGGATTAACATAACTCAAAAACCACTGGACGAATTGACACCAAATTTGGACACAAGACACCTCTCAGGCCAACAAGTGACCATCACTCATAAGAACACTGAAAAACACAGCAGAAGGGACTTAAAAGCTAAAAAACAAAAACAAAAATACATTACAACGCATGCACAAAACCATATATACATACACAAACACATATATACACACATATATGCACACACACAAAACAC